AGGATCCATTATCTTATTTACTTATATCTTCATCCTATTTTACTTTATGATAAGTCTTTCAATGTCATTCCATTTTATAATTAAGACATCCAGTAGAGTTAATGGTTTTTGTCAGTGATTGTGGTTTCTTTTTGTGGATAAGTGGTCAACTTCCCGTAGACAACGTTCTATCTTATAGTCGTATCTTGACATTAGATTATTATATTCTTATTTTCTGGTTTCATTCATATTGTCGTTTTTAATTTACATCGTGCCATTCGTTGCATTTAAATAGAACAAAACGCCCACGAAATGATTCACTTCATTTCCACCGTTCCTCCGATTATTCGCTACACCAGTGATCCGTGAACTAACCGTTGTCATGTGTTCTTGCCCTTTGACTGTGGTTTATTTCATGTAGGGCTAGAGGAAAAAGGCCAGATTCGATAAGGGAAAACAAATGAATGAAAAGCAATTAGTGCGTGCTTCCTAATTAAGTTCCTGTCTTTTGTTGTGAGAGGAGCGAAAGCATGCACTCATTTTTTCGTTGGTTTTTCGGTTCTCTTCACAGAACAACACAGAGGAAATTAGGGCTTTTACCTACAGCATAAAGAGGGTCCTTGTGTTGCGTTTTCTGGGTCACATGAACTTTCTCGTATGTGTAGAGCGCACTGCAACCAATGAGCAGCTATGCTACCATACAAAGTAAAATAGCGATTTATGTGAGTTTTCGCACACGACTCAAGCAGAAGGCGTGGGTACATCGGGCGGGGTGGGGGGTAGCATATATATATATAAGCATATATATATATATACACACACATATATAAACGTGTATATATATATATATATGTATATACTCCCATGTTCGCGATCCCGGAGTCCATGCTGGCAGGATCTGAAGCAGGCCTCCGAGCTGCGAGCAAAAACCAAGGGCACACAGGCGCCAACTGAGGACTACTAAAGGAGCCTTAGGGGTTCAGGGTTTAGCGGTTTAGGGTTTAGGGTTCAGGGGCTTGGGGTTTAGGGTTTGAGGTTTCGGGTTTAGGGTTTAGGGTGTGGTGTTTAGGGTTTAGAGCTTCGGGTTTAGGGCTTGGGCTTATGCCGTCTAGGGTCAAAACTTTGGAGTTTCAGGGGTCTCGAAGGTTTATAGTCTCAAAAAATTCACCCTCAAGTTAAGGGTTTAGGATTTAAGGTTGCAGGTGTAAGGGTTAGGAGTTTAGGGGTTTAGGGTTTGGGGTTCGGGGTTTGGGGATGGGTTGAGGGGTTTAATGAAGGGCCTGAATAGTTGCCTGTACGATTTTGGGAGTTCCTTTTCATAATTATAGTAAAACCTGCCCAAAAGCCCTATTCTGATTATTAAGGTCCCTACATTGCGAATTTTGCTGAAGGTTCCCTTAAGGGAAATCTAGACGGGGACCTACCGGGCTTGGGGCTTTTGGGTTTTGGGGTTTTGGATTTAGGGATAGGGTTCAGGGTTTAGGGTTCAGGGTTTAGGGTTTAGGGTTTAGGGTTTAGGGTTTAGGGTTCAGGGTTTAGGGTTCAGGGTTTAGGGTTTATGGTTTAAGTTTAGGGTGAATATCTGGTTTTTATAGGGCTCTTCTAGGGCTTATAGGTCTGATTGGTGTTGGATAGAGTTAGGGTTTAGGGTTTGGGGTTACAGATGATTGGGGTGTTGCTAGTTCTTGTTGGTGAAGAGGAGGTGGCATCAGGGTGCTGTGGCGTTTAGGGCTTAGGATGTTGGGGACTTAGGGACTTTGCCCTTTATGTAGGTACGGATTATACAGCTTAAGATGAAGCTTAAGGGCTGAGGAACCCTAAACCCTAAACGCCAGCGAGCACCATGGCAGCCAAACAGCCTACACCATTAGGCCCTAACCCCTAAACCCGTCAACCCCGGGTCTCAGAGCCTAAACCCGTCAACCCCGGGTCTCAGAGCCTAAACCCGTCAACCCCGGATCACAGAGCCTAAACCCGTCAACCCCGGATCACAGAGCCTAAACCCTTCAACCCCGGATCTCAGAGCCGTAACACCTTATCTTTGCCTTCACTGGTTAGGACAGGCTATGTTTCTGCAGTTGCATTGCCTTAAACCCTAAACCCTAAACCCTAAACCTCAAAGCCTAAACTCCTAAACCCTAAACCCTAAACCCCGAAACCCTAAACCTCGAATCCCAAGGCTAGGCTTCAGGGTTGAGCTTTTCAGCTCGGTGCGTTTAGGGCTAAGTTGATCCCTAAATCTCCAAACCTAGAACCCCAAACCCCTAAACCGCAAGATCCTGGTTTAGGGTTTTGGGGTTTTGAGTTTAGGGCTTAGGGCTTAGGGTTTATGGCTTAGGGCTTGGGATTTGGGTTTAGGGCTTAGGGTTTAGGGCTTGGGGCATAGGGCTTAGGGTTCAGGGCTTAGGGCTTACCCTTGGGCTAATCTCCTGCGCGGAGGCCTGGAACGACTTGGAGGGCGCACGCAACACAGCTGAGTCGTTTGGGTTTCCAGGAGGCTGTGAGTTGATAGTCTCGGGCCCAGAGGTTAGGAGTATGGGGCTTCAGGCCCTATGGGTTTAGGGTGTAGTGTTTAGAGTTTAGGGTTTAAGGTTTAGGGTTTAGAGTTTAGGGTTATATCCCTGGCTCCCAGGGTGTTGCTGCATCGCCAGAGCAGGTATGGCGGTAGCGGCACCAGGAATGCATGGAGTAGTGACTGTAGCTGCAATCACCACTGTTGTCGTAATCCAGCATCGTTCCCCACCCCCCCAAACATCTCTAAGCCGCATATCATGTATTGAAACCCAGTAAAACATGAAGCCCACAAATCTGAAACATCAAATCACCTACACCCCAATAACTTCAAAAATCGAACTAGCTTAAAGCCCTGGAAGAACGACTTCAAGTATAGAGACCTTAAACTTACAGCGGGCTGGATCTTCGAATCATGACATTATTGGACTTTCTGGTTCTAGGCCGGGCCGAAGGCCCTAGAGCCCTCAAAACCATAGCCCTATAGACCCTTAGGGTTTAGGGTTTAGGGTTTAGGGTTTAGGGTTTAGGGTTTAGGGTAACCCTTCCAGAAACTTTCTGAAACCCCTGATAGTGACCCGTACACAACCTTTGTAGAAACTTTACAGTGACCCCCTTGGTTGAATAATCCTTACAGCAACCCTTATCCAAACCCTTATAGTTTAGTTTAGTTATCATGTGTTTAATTCCTAAACCCCAAACCCCAAACCCCAAACCCTAAACTTTTGCAATTCGCACGGCACCAGCCTTCTTTTCCTTCGAACCCCAAAGGCGGTTGGCAGCGCAAGGTTAATGATGCTCCTGGTGGACAATGCGAGTTGCAACCCCAAGCCCTTCCCCAAACCCCAAACCCTAAACCCTAAACCCAAACCCTCTCAAGCCCTAAATCCTAAACTTATAAACCCTAAACCCCAAGCCCTTGTAGAGCCCTTTCGAAGTGAGGCACGCTTGCAACACTGGCAGCGGCATTGCGTGGAGACCGGCGCGATGAAGAAGCTCTGGAGGCGCCACAAGTAGTGACTCTTAGGGGGGTGTGCTTTGGGACGTTTTCGGTTTTTGGGTTTTGAGTTTAGGGTTTGGGTTGTTTCCAGTTTTGGGTTTTGAGATTAGGGTCTGGGGTTTAGAACTTTAGTTTGTGAGTTTAGGGTCTGGGTTTTGTGTTCTGGGTTTTGGGTTTAGCACTCCCAGGCTCATTAAATCGGCCCAGATACAGGGAGGCAAATGGCACTTAACTTCGGAAAATACTTTAAGTCATAGCGCGAATCCAAACCCAAAGCCATGAACCATAACCCCCGAAACCCTGGACTGTAAGGCATGCTCCTCAACTAATGGTGGTATGGGGCTCTGGGCGCGGAAGATACCTTGGTGGTCCTTTGTATATGAATCATGAACTAAATTGTTCTTGTGTGGAATTCTGGAGAAGGTCTTCTACAAGCTTAATGCAAGGTTTGGGGGTTTAGGTCTATGGCGCGTGGTTTCAGAGATCGTGGATAAAGGTTTGGTTTCATGCTTCAGGGTTAGAGCTTTATGCTACGCACCAGTGAACTGAAACTGTAAATCCTAAACCCTAAACCCTTAACCCTTAACCCAACATCCTTCTGCTTCGAAGATCCAAAACTCAAGCCTCGAAAGCCCGAAAGCCTTGAGCCCTAAACCCATAAGCCGGGATCTCTGTGCAGGTTTCCGATCGTGCCAAGGATGCTTTTGAGAAAGTCGGCTGTCTGAGGCCCAGAGTTGGAAGATTCCGGCTAAGGCCTGATCCCATCTACCTCAAAGTTCTAGGTTTAGGGTTTGTTACAGGGCTTATAGGGTTCAACTGGGGCCTAAAGTTTAGGGTGCCGTAAGAAGGGAAACGGACCTGGACTTTATCCGGTCAGTTTGCCTTGCGTGCACACCATCTGCAGTGAGTTTACGACGGGATCTTCAATCAAATGCCTGACAAAATTCTCACTCCCACCAAGCCCTAGACCTCACCTTAAAACCCTGAACCCTACGCCCCTAAACCCCTAAGCCCCTAAACCCCCAAACCCCAAACCCGCGCCCTAAACCCGGAAAGCCCGAAATCCCCTAATTTGATATTCTTGGCATGTTATGCTTCACCTAGATATTCGACCCTCGTATGTTGATCAGGAGAGAGCAAAGTTATTGCGACGTTGGGCTCAATCCAACGAAAACATCGCTGCCTGCGAATCTTTGGTCACAGCGACCCGTCGCTCGAACCTGCCGGGGCCAAGGATAGTGCAACTGCTGGCGGTGAAGAATATGTCAAAGGCGCCATCCAACTTCTCCGAACGAAAGATTGCCCACATTGTCGACCCGGTGGTGCTCGAATCGGGCGTCCTGAAGGTCAAGGACCTCCATACCATCGAGGATCTCAAGTGGCCACTTGCAGAATTCATTCTGGCCGCAGGTTGTCAATGCTTTCGGCCCGTCATTTCAGAGTGCACAGTCCTTGAGTCCTCCAGGCCTTCTTTGTCGGTTTCTACAACACGCCTCTTTATCTGGCAGTGCACGTTTTGTTGCACGTCAATGGGGGAAAGCAGTTCTCAGCGCATATTTGTTGCAGCGAAGTTGGTTTCTTTGCGGTTTAGACAGCGTCTTATATGCCTAGAGATAGTCACATACATAGATAGGCCGATGGATAAACAGTTTTCGGCACATGGATATATACCTATACACAGGTAGATAGATGCTTTTGTCTTGTTTTACCAATTTTCTTTCTGTACTTAATGGGTTTCTGTCCTACTTGTGCCGTTTGGGGCGGTGGGCTGGGTGGGTTACGGGGTGCCATGATGTTTTTGTTAGGCTTTTGTTGTGAGTTCTGAGCCTAAGGTATTGAATTTCGGGCTTAAGGGTTTCGCGTGGTTTGGAATATTCGAGATTTGGGAAACATCCCTAAACCCTAAACCCACGGTTCAGAGTTTCCGGGATATGCTTTTCAGGGTTTCTGGGCCTTTCGGTGTTGTGGCTCGCAGCGACGGTTCGAAGGAATGCAGAATCCGAAGCTCTAAGACCTTAAACCCTAAACCCTAAACTCTAAGCCCTCCTAGTCCTAGACGGACGGGTAAAGCTTGGCGCGTGAAAGATGATTTCGCGCTGAACCCAGAACTCTCATTTCCATAAATTTCCCTTTATAGTTTAAGGGTTCTATAACGGAACCTTAAGGGCTATGGAGTTGAAGGACCCATGTACCTTTATAGTATTTACATTGGCCTTGAAGTAGTCCCTACACAGGTACTTTAAGGCCAAATCGACCACTATAGGGGCACATGGACCCTTAGGGTTTAGGCAGGCTTTAGCATTTAGTTTAGGGTTTAGAGAGTTCAGGGTTCGACTTTGACGGTTGGGGGTTGAATAGCTTAGGCTAACTTTCGGGCTTAGTAAGTTTAGGGCTCAGGGTCAAAGGTTTAGGGGTTTAGGGTGTCTCAGGGGCTGAGTACCCCAGCCCCAAAAGGGTTAACCCTTAAGACTTTTCAGTTATAGTAGGGTTTTATAAAACCCCAGGAGGTTAAAGGTACTCGGCCCCTCAGATTAACCCCAAACTCTAAACCGTTCGATGTTAAATTAAAGGTTACCTACTCAACCCATCTCGTAAACCCTAAAGCCTAAACCCACAAACCCTCAACTGTTCGGGGTTTAGGGGTCCTAAACCCCAAACGTTGAAGGTATCCAGGAGCTTTCAAGCAGAGCTGACCAGCTTTTTGGCACTAAACTACACCCAAATATGCAACTGCCACCAGCTCTCTGGTGCTGAGCCGAGCTTCAACAGTAGCGGATACGGTTTTAAAGGGGCCCAGTGCTCAGGGCAAACTACAATGAACAAATGTTATGAACAATCATATGACGAAATTCAAAGGGCTCCAACCCTAGACCCTAAAACTCAAACCCCAAACCACCAACCCGCCCCAAACCAAACCCTAAACCCTTAATGGTACCCTTACAGGAACCCTTCAAGGAACCCTTAAAGGAGCCCTTCAACGGACCTTTCAAGGAACCCTTAAAGGAGCCCTTCAAGGAACCTTTAAAGGAGCCCCTTCAAGGGGACCCTTAAAGGAACCCCTAGGGGGACATGGACCTCCCGAAGAGCTGAGGCTTGGAGAGTCTGGAGGGCTCTGCGCTGCTGGGGCCTCGGATCCGGGGGGCCTTAAGGGCTTACAGGGTTTAGGGTTTAGGGGTTTAGGGGTTTAGGGTTTAGGGTTTAGGGTTTGAGTTTAGGGTTTGAGTTTAGGGTTTAGGGGTTTAGGGTTTAGGGTTTGGGGTTTAGGGTTTGGGGTTTA